ATATATATATATATATATATATATATATATATATATATATATATATATATATATATATATATATATATATATTTTGGTAACAGACTATTGTTAACGCAACATTTCAAAAATTCAACACTACTTTCAACATTGTTCAACTTTTTTATATTTCTTTTCAATTTATTAATATTTATTGTTCAACTTTTTCATATTTTTTTTTAATTTATTAATAAATATTAATAAATTAAAAAGAAATATGAAAAAGTTGAACAATGTTGAAAGTAGTGTTGAATTTTTGAAATATATATATATTGATACATTCAAATACATTCAATTATTGATGAAAATAATTGTATACATATAATACAAATACATTCAATTATTGATGAAAATCACGGCATGTTCCGCGTTAGTTAGCTTCCTGTTTAATTATTTAATTTTTCCTTTTTTTATAACAATAGATCGTAAATCACTGTCAAGTTTCTTGAGTTCAAAATCAAAATTTTTATAAACTTTTATTTATTTTAAGCATGATAAAACAGCACAGCTTTTTCGGTATTCCTATACCTTTTTCGGTGTTTAAATTGATACGTAATTATATGTGTGGCCAAATGCTTAAGTATATATATATATATATATATATATATACATATATAAATTTTTATTAATATATATTTAATTATTTAATTAAAACTACTTTCAACATTGTTCAACTTTTTCATATTTCTTTTTGATTTATTAATTTCCGAGAAATTAGACATTTTATTGTTTTTTTTTTAAATTTTTATTAAATAAATTGCAAATAGCTATTTCGAGTTATAAATAACTCATCTTCAGTGCATTATATATAAGGTATGTAAGATATTTGATATAAAGGAACAAGTAATTATTAATTTATATAAATTATTTAATTAAAACAGAAAACCAATAAAGTAAATTTAATAACTATAAACAATATAAAACGCGATTTTTAAAATTTTTAAAAATTTTTTTTAACGGCAAGATTGTTTATATTATGGTTGTTAAGGTAAATATCAACGCTCAGCCGAAAAGCGCGAATTAATTTATTTAATTAACTACATATTATTAATATTATTTTGACAATATTTAAAAACATTATTATTATTGTTAACGTTATTATTATTATCATCGCTGTGGTTCTTCTTGCTTCTTGTGATGATGTTCCATTTGCAAGTGATATTTGCGCTGTGGGTTGTGGCGTTGGTATCTACATTGTTGGCACTGTTGTTGTTGTTATTGTTCATGCTGTTGTTGTTGTTGTTGATGTTGTTGGTGTTGTTGATGTTGTTGTTAGGGTTGTCACTATTGATGATGTTCCAATTGCAACTGATATTTGCGCTGTGGGTTGTAGCATTGGTGTCTACAGTGTTGGCACTATTGTTGTTGTTGTTATTGTTGATGTTGTTACTATTGGTATGATTGTTGTTTACATCATCAATATTGTTGGAGATAAAATTATCTTACATACCTTATATATAATGCACTGAAGATGAGTTATTTATAACTCGAAATAGCTATTTGCAAATTTATTTAATAAAAATTTAAAAAAAAACAATAAAATGTCTAATTTCTCGAAATTAATAAATTAAAAAGAAATATGAAAAAGTTGAACAATGTTGAAAGTAGTGTTGAATTTTTGAAATGTTGCGTTAAAAAAAATATATATATACTGTGTCTCTACGGTGTTAATTTTTTTATAGAATTTTTGTTTATTTCATATTTTATTTTATTTCATAATTGATATTTTTGTGAAAATATGAATAAAAAGATTTTGCATTTCTAGGTAAAAGATGGTGTGTTCACCCTTATGCTGCTGAAGAGCTCGATCACCACGCTAACAACGGTTACCAGAATAAAAGAAAAGAAATATCCAAGTTTCATACCTGGTCCTCAGCTTTTTCCCGTGCCTTATTTAGAAGATTTTGAAGGTTGTGACTCATTTGCTATTACGCAACTATTTGTTGCATAGTGTAAAACATATAACTATAATAACTCTTAACAATAATTACTACAGCTCTTTGTAGAGCCAATTTTTCTTTTTTCGTCAATTATTCTCTTATATGGGAGAGAAAACAATCTGGAATGAAAGAAGGGCTATACAAATTGTTGGGAATCATTTGAAGTCGGAAATAAGAAACGAGGATGATGCAGAATGACGAAGACATACAAGCATATGTCAAGGTGAGAGCAAAGAAAATTGAGACTGGTTAAATACATTTCCAGAATGCCAAATGACGGATATTTTGTTTAAAAAATCCTATAAAGCAAAAAATTGGAAAATCCGTTAAGTAAAGATGAGTGGCATTGCAGTATATTAAAGGGAGTGAGTGTTGAAATTAAAAAAATAGTCAAAGAAAAAAATTTAAATAGAAAAAATGACCTCATGGGCTTTAACGGTCTTTTATAGGGTTAAAAAAGGTAATCATTTATGGAGTTAAAGAAGATCTTTGATTATTTGTTTGATTGATTGATTGATTGAATAACTCACCGACCGACATGACTGACTGTCTGACTGGCTGGTTGGTTGGCTAGTTGGTCGGTTGGTTATCTGGTTGGTTAATTTATTGAAATATAATTGGCATGTGTAAAAGTATCGCTTAATTATTTCCAATTATATTTATTGAAAATAAATATTTATAACTTAAAGCCTGGTACACGCTAGCGGACATATTGCGCAATTTGAATTTTAAAGCCTCATGCTCACGTACTTAGGAAACATAGGTGTCATTCTTTGATTTCTATCAACTTTTACATTTTTTAAAATTTAACAGTTGTTATTAATTTCCATTCGTTTTTTAAAGAATTTATTTATTTTGATTATATTTTAATTTTTTTATTTAATTTATTTGCATAATATTTCAGCACATAGGTTTTTTTATTTGGTGTCATCTGAAAAGTAACGATAAGAAACAATTATCGCTGACGAACCTCTCCCTAGTTACGCTACGGCCTATTTATAATGTGAATTTTTTATCGTCGTTTTGTACTTCACCATAAAAAAATGTAATAAAATTTCTAAAAACTGTTACAAAATGTAATCTTTTCCTTAAATAATAAATTTTAATTCTTCTTTACTTTTTAAAATATGTTCCTCGCGAAAAATATTAGCAAATTAAAATTTCAAGACAATTTTTAAAATATTAAACAACTATTTGTTAAACTTGGAAAAAATTAAACTAAATTTTGACCTGAAAACTGAAAAATGAAATGGAATAAAATTACAAAAACCGGTTTTAAAATTTTTTTTTGTTTTAAATAAAATATAATGAATTAGTGAAAAAATTTAAAAAGCTAAAAGTTTTCATAAAATTTTTTAAAAATATTAATGCATTAAATAAAATTTTAAAATAATAGAAATCTGCTTTTTAATGTCTACTTGACGTAAGTATCGATTAATCAAAAGATGTTGATAGATTTTAAGTTATTGCTTGTAAAGGTGCATTTATAATGAAGTTTTTTAGATAAAAATATATTGGTGTTGTGAATGATAATATTTTTTAACTAGAATATTAAGTTATCATTTTTTTTAAATGTATTTAAAAGTATAAAATATGGTTATAATTGATTCACACTAAAATATACTTAGTCAATGTAAAATTCAGAAGAAATGAAGCTTATCCAGATTTATATTAGAAGGAATGAAAAGACGTTAAACAAAATGTACTTTACCTAATAAAGAATTATGGGGTTGTCATTGTTTATATTTAAACGATCACCAGGATACGAACCTGGAGCAGAGCCATTCAACTTGGCCCAACAGTCTGGTTCCTTCGAAGTAACTCGCTCATCTGATCACAGTCGTAACTTGGTCCTTACTCAGATGGTCACTTCATCTCCCGTCGATACGTGTTTCTACAAATTCACAAGACCTCTTCTTCTTATTGGGGATGTAGAATGGTTAGTGTTGTTTTAGAACATTACTTAAGTTTTTCGAAAGAGGGGACCAAACGTGACGCGGCTTCTGTCGCGATTAAATATGGACCATTCTTCAATTTTCTTTTTTACACATATTATTAAAATAAACATTATTCATCATCAATTAGGAGAAATGTTCGAACAAAGGTGAGCGTGTACATTAAAAAAGATGATAAATTAATGGCCAGCAAGAAAACGGATTGGAAAACATTTTCTGACGACAAATCACATGTGCTTAGATTTGGACAAAACAACGCAAGAAAAGATGCGGAAAAAAGGAAACAACCACAAACACATTCTCATGGTGTCTTCATAGCTTCTCAGGTTTATCAAATTATCATAAAAACGACTTTTTTTACCATTAAAAGTCTCATTATTTTTATCCAAACAATATTTCAATTTTAATTTTTTGGTAGATCAGACACAAGTCAATCAATCAATCTTTGTATAGCGTCTAGAGACCCAGTTTCCCGAGGTAGAACGTTGTTTTTTTTTGCCATCAACTTTTTGCGCCAAATTAGACGATCAGTTGTATCCATTTCATTAAAATTTAGAGTTTTCATGTCTTGCTCGATTGTTTGCGACCAGGACTTCTTTGGACGGCCTTTAGGACGTGTACCAGGTACTTCAACATCTGCAAGAGAAGTTATGGCACTGTTTCCACTTCGTTTGACATGACCAAACTACCGCAGACGGTGTTACCGGCATTCGTCATTTATATCATCTAAACCAGCACGACGCAGGATTTCGGTATATTTGATGTGGTCCTTCAGACTAATTTGTTGTATCCATCGGAGCATTTTCATGTTGGTTCGGTGAAGTTGTTGTTCCAGTTTGGTTGTCATTGGTCATGTTTCTGCACCATATAACAACACCGGACGTTTAACAGATTTATAAAGTCTTGATCGTAGTGGTAGTGGGAACTCACGCCGCATCAATATAGAGGCAAGGAGATGCCATTTATTCCAGGCTGCACGTATGCGTGCTCGAACGGCAGCTTCCAGGACAATCTAGAAGATCCCATAGATATTGAAACGATGTGACTTTCTCTACCTTAATGGCTTCAAAAACATTGCTATTTCGTATTTGTTGTTGTGGATTGATGCAAGCAAAACAAACAAAATTGGACACTTTATATAAAGTACCAATTATTTTTGAACAACGTTTGTGACACCACTGGTTACACTGCTGACACTTGATTGAATTGTTACCTACACCAGCTTTACAAACTGAACAGAGTTCTCGTCTAGTAGTTGTGGATTGGATGGGTTCACCAGTGCTCATTGCTTTGGTTTTGCTGATGTTGACTTTGAATCCATGATCGGCGAGTCTGGTGTTCCAATCTTTAAACATCTGTGCTTTATCCTGCTCAGACGTGACTGTTAAAACTATATCAACAGCATATATTAGATTCGAAATGTCACCAGTGCGTAACGGTTTTGTGATTTCTTCCATCACAGTTATAAATAACAGTGGACTGAGAATCGAGCCTTGGTGAACTCCAACGCCGATGTTAAATGTATCTGTGTTTCCAACCATTGTGCTGACGAGAGTCTTAGTATTCGTATACATTTCCATCACAAGTCGAACAAGATATTCTGGAATGAGTTGTCGACGTAGACTCCACCTGATTGCTTCACGGGGAACTCGATCAAATGCTTCTTCAAGGTCTACAAAAATGTGTGATAGTTGTTGATGCTTTGCGAGGTACTTCTCTTGCAGTTGCCGAAGGATGTGAATTGCAATTCCCCAACAATTGTTGATTTCCCCGCTAGGAAACCAAATTGATAATTTACGATTGTGATGCATGACGTTAATCTTCTCTCAATGATTTTCTCAACAATTTTCAGGGAGTGTTCTAACAGACGTATACCCCGATATGATGAACAGTTCAATGGATCACCTTTACCTTTGTATAGCAGAACTACCATGCTATAGTTCCGTTCAGTCGGCATTGAGCAATTTCTCCACACTTCACGGCAAAGTTGTAGTAACGTTTGGATACTCGCAGTACTAGATGTTTTGATAATGTCATTTGTGAGTCCAAAGGGCCCTGCTGCCTTTCCATCTTTTATAGCTTTCAGAGCTTCTGTAAGCTCCTCTACAGTGATATCTGGAATCAGACCTTCGATGGGAGGAGCGTCAAAGTTGACATTGATGGGATTTGTTTTATTTAACAGACGGTTGAAGTATTCTCTCCACTGTAGCTTGATCTCATCTTGTTCAAGAACCATCTCATTTTTGTCGTTTTTGATACATGAGGCACCAACTATGTCTTTTTTCGTACGCTTTGCTTGTTTTGCTATAAGATACAGATATTTCATTTGTTCACCTTTGCTTTTAGTTAGCCACTCTCTGCACTGATCTGTCCAAGCCAGTGCGACTTGACGTCTTGCATAGTTGTTCTTCTCACGGAAAATTTTGTGGTCGTCAACAGACTTTGATTTTTGGCCATTGCTTGTATGCAGCTTTCTTTTCAGTTATTGCATTTTGTACACTGTCATTCCACCACCAAGTGTCCCGTTCATGCTGACGTTTTGTACCAGTTTTCCCACAAACTGTAGTCGCAGCATTTATGAAAACGGTTTTGTATGTACTCCAATATGTACTGGCTTGCGATTGGTGGTCTAACTGTGTGGCGACAATCTGTTGAAATTTTTCTCGAGGAATTGCTTTTCAGCTTTCACGTTTTGATTCTCCGAGGCATTTTTTTACTTATGTTTTGACAGTTCGACAACCAGGTCTGCCACAAGGAGTCAATTTTTGGCGACATATGATTCGCCATGTATGATCAGACACAAGTATTTTATATATATATATATATATATATATATATATATATATATATATATATATATATATATGAATGCTGCTAAAAGACCGTAATTTTTGAAATCTACCAAATTTCTAGCTTTGGATAATTTTTTATTACATTTTTCAATGTTTCTAACCAAATTCTTGTCGTCATTATTTATTTTATTAAAATTAGAATAATATACAGTTTTCCAATTTATTTTTGAGTGTATAGGACCTTTTTCGATTTTGCAATCATTTTCAGTACTTGTTGCGGTTTACATGGAGAATTCGTATAACCCAGGCCTTTGTTCTTGTCTTTTGAAGCCATTAACGAAGGAGCGCATCTGTGTACTTTATACTATAAGTATGTATAAGATACAACCAATAGCTGATAACACACTACATTGAAAATGGTTAAGGATAACCGAAAAAAAGCATTTTATTAACATTGTTAGAATTTATTTTCAGTATTAAAGATGATTGCATATGGCTACACATATTTATTCTTTAAAAAACACGATTTTGAAAATAGTTTCAGAATAAAAAATAAAAAGGTTTTAAACTCATAACATTTTCCGGAGTCGAGTGACAATTATTCGACTCTTACTCTGGCCGCTCAAAAAACTCAAAAAATTCCGACTCCAGTCCCTTAAAAAGTACTGACTCCGTCAAAAATCTCCGACACTCTCAGCAGAACGCATATGCAGTTCTAATCGTGCAACACAGCAGCCGTAACGCAGTAGCAATTTTTCATCCTAATTCGATGGCTTACAAATCGAAAAAATTATTTGTTGACGGCAGCTATCAGTGTCATAATGAAAATAAAATATTACGATAATTTTGAAACAAAAATACAAAAACAACATACATTATCCACAAAAATACAATAACGCCGCAACAAAACCAAAAAACAGCAATAAACCAACAGCAAAAGTACATCAAAAATATAATAATGGCCATGCAACATTGATGACATCAGGTTGAAAGTGGCGGTTGTGACGTTGTTTTGTCTGATGGCATCCACTTTTATGTAGACCTCCTGAACAAGCAAGCCATCCTTTCAATGAATCATAGTCGGTTTGAATGTTTTCATTTAAATTGTTTTTTGGTACTGATTAAAAACATGTTGCCGTGCGTATTGTTTGTCAATGCATCTCTTTGTGAATGATTGGTCTGAACACTTTGTTCGACCAGACATGACGAAACAGCTGAACAGTACCTCTCTTCCACAGGACCTCTACAACAAATGGTTCACCATTTTACTTGATGTCATGGTTAGACTTCATCTTTTTCTGATCATTTAATTTAATTAATTTAGTTCTTATTGATGAAACTACAAGGGAAATACTGTTCGACTTTTTTGATTGAATTGATGCTTTAAAAATGCAGGGCAGTGCATTTTTGTGATTGGTTTTTATGCTACATTTGATGCTACATTTGTTTAATACTTGTACCTTGTTTTTATTTATAATTAGCCTCAAATAGGTTTCAATATTTGTAAACCTGAACTTATTCGCATGCAACCATTGCTTTATTGTTGCAAAGTTTACATTACGTAAACATTTGTGTTGCCATAAACCACCTATTTGTTTTGTTTATTTTTAAATCGAACGTTGTGTTGAATAATTCATTAGGCGAATGATGATCAATTAAAAAAAATTCAGAACGAGACGGTAGTTGCCATGATAGATAACGACGTAATCTTCCACCATCACCTACCTCACTGCCCGTCGGCAACGGGATTCGTCACCTTTGGTCCAATTAATTTTGGACTCATTAGTTTCGATGATTTTGTCATCAGCAGAGTTCAATATTAAATAAGCAGGCACTGCTAAGTTGTCAAAATCGGATTGAATATTCGATATTATACGTTTTAAATTTAACATTATAACATGATTTATTTTATAATATATTTGTTTATGTTTACAACGTTTACAACAATTTTTTGTTTTTTGATAAAAAAACATTCACTTTTAATTTTATTGTTTTAATTTTATTTTTATTTGAATTTTTACAAAAAATCTTATTGAAACTATATCAAATGTTACAATGTGTTGCAATTTATATATTACATTGCTGAAAGCTGTATAGCCAGGGGCGTCATTTCAGATTTTGGTTGGGGGCAAACATATGTGGTCCAGGGCAGGGCATGTAAACTGTGTGTGTGTGTGGTGTGTGTGTTTTAAATTAATAGATCAGTGAATATCTGCGAGGTTTCATTTTTGCATACTCATCCACCACTTCTCACAAATTTATGTTTTTTGCATCTTCAGTTAGACATGAAAGAACTAAAAGATCGCTTAGTCTTTCATCACCACAACTTAAAGAATTTTTAACTCGGATAACGGTTGAAAACATTTGTTCATTTGAAGCTGTGGTTACAAGAATTGTTAAATCAATCTTAATTAATATCTACAATTCTTTAAATGCGTTCGGTGATGCTGATAACATGTCGTGAAGCAATTCGGTGTTTGGTTTTTATGTTGACAATCTATGAGCGTTTTGTCTGTTCTAATTTCTGATTCAAGGAGTTGTTTGTCAATTCCTGCAGTTTGGTAGTAGTCATCGAGAATGTACATAAGTTTTTCATTGAGAAATGTTTCTTTATGACATGGGTTAAAAACTGAAGTAACCCTGAAGACTTCAATGTTTTCGGTAAACCGCTTATTAAATTCAATTAACATTTCAACAGTTCAACATTGCAAAGAACATATCTACTTTGAAAGGTTTACGTAAGCATTCCGCGGTTTTATGCCTCTAAGTGATGACAAAAAATGAAATGCATTTTATCTTGAACAGCCAGTTGAATTACGTGAAATTTTTTCTACCTGAGGTGCTACACCCATCATATCACATAATTTGTTCGTCTGTTCAAGTATTTCTTCCCATGACTCATCAGAATGATATTTTATCAATGCGGTTTTACAAGCCTGTATTAAGCCAAATGCTGCCGCGTTGTCAATGCTGCTGTTTTGTAGTTCTCGTGAAAGACCGTGGACAGTTGACAAAACTGCATCCATGCTGATCAAGCGCACAAAAGTTCCAACGTTTAATATTTACAAGCAACCTTTAGCTTCTGCAGCCGTTACACCATCGTTTTGGTTTTCAATTAATTGGAGAGTTTGAACTATTGCTTCTAACCGTATCTTAATTTTGTGAACTGATCGATACTAATAATCATCTAGACGCTCAAGCTCGAGAATATGTACGTTGTACGTTTTGATTATCTTGCATCTGCATGAAAAATTTACGACTAATATTGCTTTGAGACAATTTAAGTTAAAGTAGGATGATGATCAATTATGACAAATTGTGCGTAAACGGGTAAATAAAAGCAATTGAGAATAATGAAGCATGATGCATGCGAACTGCTCTATCTGATCTTCCAGGCAAGAAATAGTTTAATTTTGTTAAAACTTATATGCCATTTTGCACTAATAAATACAAAAGCGTATACAGTTAATTATATATATATATATATCGTGACCGGTCAAAATGTCCCCGGTCAAAATGTCTCCGGTCAAAATGTAAAATCAAATCAAGTATCAAGTTCACATATAAAAACAGTTTGTTGTTTTAAAAATGTTTTAAAAATCCAAAAGTTCACATATAAAAACAGTTTGTTGTTTTAAAAATGTTTAAAAAATCCAAAAGTTCACATATAAGCTCACATATAAAAACAGTTTGTTGTTTTCAAACAGTCACAAAGCCTTCGTAGTTCAAATCAAGTATTCAAATGTTAGATAACATTGATGTTCAGCACTCTAGAAATATCAGTCAGATATTGCAGTCTTTCTCTGTTCGCATAATCCGAGACCATTGTGAACAGAGCCGAATCAATGTTTTTGTAAGTTTTCTTTTGTTTCCGTTGTTCACGGCCAAGTTCTCCTTGTCTCCGAAGCAGATACATGCTGTGTTGCTCGAGTTGTAGCTTCCTTGATAACATTTTAGCAGTCGGGTGGGCGATACCAACAGAGTTGTTGAACGCATTGTGCCACCCTTCCACTAAGTTATTGCTTCTTGGTTGTTTTAGGAGAACCTGACAGTGCTGGTTCCACATTGTTATTGGAAATCTTGGTGCTGCTCTTCGGTTTCTCCGGAGACGTCCGATAAAGTTGTCTTCGCTTCGAAATAATCTACAATCGAATTTGGTAGATTGTAATCCGGACTATCGATCAGCGTTTCAAAGGTCTCTATGACGTCGTCAACGGGAACAAATGCCAGGGCGATAAGCTGTTTGACTTTTAGAGCAAACGCGGCATCTGTCTTGTATTGCTCACTGAATCCACTTCCTTGCACATGCCTCCAAATACACTGCCCGAAGTGAAACAGACACCCAACAATTACAACAGTGGGAAATTTCGCCTGGAAGGCATGGATGGCAGCCAGCTCGAAATCAGTGACTAAAGTCTGAGGACTGCCGAGTTCACGAAGCGACGATACAAAATCAAGGAATCGACGGTAGACATCCTCACTTCGTCCTGGTAACAGTGCGTAAACGCAGGGATATGCACAATTTTCGTTCGATGCGTGATTCGATGCAAATTTATCATCGTCGTTGCCATCATCGTCGTTGGTAAGATATGGAAAAAAGAAAGGGTATTAGTTTAATGCAAATTATCATCGTCTATACATCCGATTGATTCTAATTACTATGTAATATCAAAAAATGGTTTGATTTATTAGGTAACAGGAATTACATCAATCAAGGTTTATCAAAGGTACGGGCAGAGCCGTACGCAAACAGCTAGTAACTTATATTATTATATTATTATTATAGCTGTATTTTTCAACATGACTTTTGGGCCATTTCTACCGGGGGACATTTTGACCGGGGACATTTTGGCCGGGATATTTTGACCGGGACATTTTGACCGGGGACATTTTGACCTAGAACCTATATATATATATATATAATTATGAGGTTTTAGGTTATATAAACAAATTGTTAAGCCACCGAGTTAGCAGGAACTATTAAACATGAACGTGCTAAAAGACCAAGGGATTGTTTCATGGTGTGTGCAATTCCATCGTTTTCTATCATCAAATTAAATTTTTATTTCAATCGTGAGGCCCTATTATAGAAATCCCGCGTCAGTAAACCCCTCTTTCTTCTAAATCCGGCTCTGGTAGCAGCAATTATTCGGCGATATTTTATAATCTGAATCAATATGCTGAATTATGCAAGAATATAAATAATAATTATTATTAATTATATTTTTGTTGTAGTGGTGGTTATTGCTTTTATTAAACAAAAAATTTTAATTTCAATAATTTAATTTTTAATTGATGTAAAACAAGTTTTGAAGGTAATAGCGTTTATTTTTATTGGGCTTACTTAATTAATAATGGGTTTATTAGATAGTTCTCAAATAAAATGTGAGCATTTATTTTGTGTCATTTGATTTTGTAGTTTTTTAACTGCCATTACAATAATCTGTTTTACAAGTGCAAATGGTTGTCGGCATGCCACTTATGGTCATTGTCTGACATTCGTTGAAAGCCACGTCCGTTCCACAGTCTCTCACTGATGCAGTCATACCTTCATTGAATTGCAATATTTTATTAATTAGCAAATATTAACAATAATTAAAATCTAATTTTTTAAATGCAAATGTATCATATCATTATCGTTTCGTATTAATCATCAGTTCACCAACAAATATTTTAACAACAATTTTGTTTTGCAACCCCGAAAAAAATTTTTACTATCTGGACGCGTTTGTTTAATTACTAGCGCTTTATTTTTAGAGCTCAACGTTTATTATTAACATTAACTATCATTAGGTTACTATAACAAGGTTACGTCTTTCAATGTTACTGCTAAAAGCCATGTTACTATTTCCAACATTATTACTATTTACATTTCTGCTGAAACTAATTCTAAAATTTTAACATTTGTTTACACGACATCTACTACAACAATTAGTATACTAGCTACCGCTACTACTATAATACATATTACAACCGGTGCTTACTACTAACCACGAAAATCAAATTTTCAACAATTAGAAAAACAACCTACTACTGTTACGCTACTAATTAAAACCAGACGTGATGCCGCTACTAAAGCTCTTACTAACCCATAAATTCAACTTTTGAACTGATGCAGTAGTTATCATTACACACGGATACTCCAGGATCATTAGCATTTACCGGACTGTTGCAGGCATCTATCGCTTCACACTTGTAACATTTCACAGCTTCTGATGGATGCCATAAAAAGAGAATCGAGGAAGTTAGTAATAAAACCGTTCCAGTCATTCTTATTTGTTTTTCGATGTAATAGGTTCTTCTGTACGTTGTTATAATTGAAAAAATTTACTTTTTTATAGCGAAAATAGAAATGAATATACATTAAAAACTTATATATATATATATAAAGAGAGAGAAAAAGTATATATATATATACATATATTTTTACAATATTCTATAAATTCTACCGAATGTTTGGCGTCAATATGTTCGTAGTTCGTTATGGTCTATTACCAACATTTACTCGAAGTTCTGCGATCAACCGACGCAATCTAACAATCGAACAAGATCGCGAGCAGCGACTGCTCTATCTCTCTCGAGAATTAGAAGTTAAAAGGAAGATAGTTCTAGATTTGTCCAATCAACTAACTGAATTGTTGAATCAATGGGATCACTGTGATGTTGATTGCAGTGTCAAGAATGAACTAAACTTATGCCGGAAAGAATGTAACAAAACGTTCACCAAAAAACTTTAGTGAAAAAAATTGAAAAAACGAACTACAAACATATTAACGCCAAACATTCGGTAGAATTTATAGAATATTGTTAAAATTATGGTCTATTACCAACATATACATATATAAATACATATATTGGATTAAGACTGTCAGAAATGCAGTTATTGATGAAAATCACAGCATGTTCGGCGTAAGCTAACTTCCAATTTAACTTTTCAATTTTTCTTACGGTTGATCGTAAATCATTTTCAAGTTTCTTTAGTTCAACCGTTAGAAAAATCGAAAAGTTAAATTGGAAGTTAACAAACGCCAAAAATGCTGTGATTTTCATCAATAATATATATATATATATTTTACGTTACGATATATAATAATATATATATATATATATATATTTTACGTTTTACGATTTTTCTCATTAAAGTTTTTTGGAGAACGTTTGGTTTATTAAAATTCAAAATAAACTTATTTTCCGAAATCATGCTGCAAATAAGGCCATATTTCGATTCCGATTGAATCATCATCAGTGCAAGTTGATTTATAGAGGGAAATATTCACTTTGTGAATTTTGTGATTTAATTAAGCTACAATCAAAGTCGCTGTGAAAACAGACACAAAGACGGAACAATACTATATAACTACACTGGTGATGGGAGTTGATGCCGAAAAGAGCTTTTCTGTAGTAATAACGTTATTAATAATGTTTTGTCAAAAATGTCAAATATTAAATTTTTTTATTTAACCTTAATAAACTTCATCAAGATGATAAAAGTCTCGTTAGAAAAATTAAGAAACTCAACTACAAGTTGAATAATGCCGAAAACGGAGTGATCTATATAAATAAATATATTTATGATAGTCTAAACCCAATATATATAGTAGAGTACAGTATATATATATATATATATATATATATATATATATATATATATATATATCAAATCAAATCAAATATTGTATTTATATAGCGCCAATTATAATTGCTTCTCATCAGCGCTCTCCTCGTATGAAGCATGTTGAAAGCGAAGCCATCATCGGTTGAGATCACTAGGAGTTACCAAATAGGTACGTCTTTAGACGTTTTCTAAACTCAGCTAATGATAACCCGGATATACGTAGTTCGATAGTTAGGCTGTTCCAAAAAATAGGCCCAGCAACTGCAAAATCTCTATCTGCTGTTTTCAGATTCCGATCTCTAACATACAGCGTGAATCAGCAGACCTTAGACGCCCATGTGATGACATAGATGAAACTCGAATGCACTTAACTTCTAAATATTTCGGAGCCAGACCATTTAAACTTTTAAA